CCCACTACAAATCCTGCCGTCTAGTCCGCTAAAAGACACTGAATAGATATACCGTGGGGACGTATTCAAGTGGGTCGGCCATATTTGACCATCGGACTAGTTAGTCCCCTATTCTGAATGGCGCAATACTTATTTTCATTAAAAAAAACTTCGAGAACAGTGGGAACACGACGCGAACACGACGGAACGTTCGAGCCACGCAGGATAGGCGCCTATTTCCCTAACGCTTTAACACTCCACGAAATAAGGGCGTTGCGAATGGGTAAATTCTGATTTAGCGACTCTCAAAGACTTGTCGACAAGTATTTACTCACAGCAGATCGCAATATGGTCAGCACGAAGGAATATTTAAAGATCGTAGGAAGCAGAAAATATGTTCATATTTCAGAATGCTCTGTTAGAAGAATTAGCGTTAACGGAAAAACCAGGAGGGAATTTGCTGATATGTGAACTCGCTAAAAATAAGTTTGCATTTCTATTTCCCGGTGTATGCTTGTAATATCTTATTTCCCATGACTTAATATTCCATTTGGTTTATCCTCAAGCGTGTGTATTAAATCAATCTCCCTCTGTGTTTTTGCTGTTTCACTATCTCTCTTCACTTATACATATATTGTTGTGACTAGTGTAATGCAGTGCTCGCTATACTATACCTCTTCAGTTGTTCATAAGCAACAATTTAAACTGTCAGTGTCTGTCTCTGCTTTTTCCCTCTATTAGTCTCTATTACACGCAAAAATACACACTGGCTAGAGAAGTAATAAACAGTGTGCACTTACTGCATGTCCGAAAACCAATTTGTTCATTAAAGAGAACCTGAGCAATAACCGTGCTGCCGATCAAAATCTAGAAAGGAGAACGCCGTCGGGTTTAGTACCTGGTAACGAGCGAGAAATGCGTTCAGTTGCGAAATGCGACGCTTCTAAGAGCGAAAAGAGGGAATATTTGAGAATTTGGTTGTTATAACAGACGTAAAGCAGGGGAAGCGACCAATTTTTCTTGTCCCACAAACCCAAAGGTGTAAAGGGTAGACAGTGGTCATTTTTATTTTGAATATTGTCTTACAAACTGTTCATGCCTACAGAGATTTCTAAAATATAGCTGGTTAAAATTATTAGGGTATTACTGGGGTGCTAATGATTTATCCACCTCTCACCCGCCTGAATAATGTTGCGCTTTTATTTGGTTAAAAACCATTTCCGGTCGTGTTTGCAGACCGGTAAACGCTTGCACATATTTTGGGAACTCTTCAGGACAACATTAAGAAAGTCGATGCTACTCTATTTACTGAAAGGTAATCGAAAAATCAAAGTCATTAGCATCTGATGGAAATGTTGATTCAGATCCAAAAGGGTTATTACTTTTGGAACTCCTCCAAAAGGGCAGGGAGCTAAGCAGCTTTATTATTTGGTAGCAAAGATATTGAACGACTTGTCAGGTACAGTACATGTACCATGCGACGAAAGAAACACTTCAGATAAAGCTTAATCTATTTTGTTGTAATCTTTGGGGACGTTAGAGATTTGTTCTATGATCCAATGGGTTTGTATTTGGGACTAATGTCAGAAACATCGTTTTCAATCATAAAGACAAAATGATGTGATCGAGATAATTAGCATTTGACACCGCTGGAGTAATAGGGCCAGAGCACGTGATCAGGCAATTAGGTGTTGCGACAGCACATTGATTCGACTGATGATGTAATTAACCAGGTTCTTCGATGACTCGAAGTAAAAGCTATTCCATGTTATTCCCATTACCCGTTAAGGTCAATTAAATGTTGCGAAGCATTGGATATTTCAAAGCATCTCTCTCTTTCTCCCGCCTTCCCGCTCTCTCTCTTTGCCACGTTTTCAATAGCTCTGCCACTTTTTTTTAAATAATAGTCCTGCCACTTTTTTGTTATCAGTCAGGGTTTTGTTTTTATTCTAAACATTATGCTCCGGGAATGTTATAAAAAGGAACCGTGTCAAATATGGCGAATTCGTGGTGTGTCACAGAGTGTTAATCCAGCTTGATTTCTGCACAAAATCCAAAAAATCGTGACATTATATTACTATCTCGGACGATTCGCTTCGCTGCTCTTAAACTCGAATATGCTAAATCTTCGTGTAATGAGCGTGTTATCTTTTGCAAGCACACGCTAGGATCATTGAGAATGAGTTGTTCATTAAGTCAGTCTATCAAAAAACGATAAAGTAGTATATTCTTCAACGACCGTAGTAAATTGATTTTTTCTGTCACGGTGTAAACAAGAACACCAACGCAGACAACAGTTGCAAGGGTTCAGATGTTTGAAGGGTTTTACACTGAATCAGTACCCATAAGTCGCCATATTTAAATGGGTTCATACCGGGATGTGTGGAGGGGCAGCTTCAAAAATATAGTTTTACTCCAAAATTGAACTGTATAAGCTAGCCAACCGAGGGATCGTTTGGTCCCCTTGTTGTGCTTTATAAATTAGACGAGCGCCATAGGGAAACGGATTGATTGTCTGGTGGTGATTATAACTCTTCGTGTTCTGAAATTAGTTGTTTAATATATTTTGTTGGTTCATTTTTCATGATTTATTGTTCAGTCACGCTTGAGTTGAATGATTATGTCTTTTAATTGGATCCCGGGGTTTGTCGCTGTGGCGTAACTGCAATTAAGATGATTGAGACGGAAGTTTATAACCCACAGACCCTTTGTGTAGATTAAGACCGCATTCAGATTCAAACATCGAACCAGCTGGATCGATCTAACTCTGTGTGGGATTCTAACTAAAGTGCATTCAATTTAGTCAGTTAATTGCCAGACACTCTTTGAAAAGATAATTGATTGGTTAATTACCCCACTAGCAACTGGTGATGGCGTGTCAGACATTTTAGCCGATTACAGTGATTGCACTTAGTGAGACTCTCCCACAGAATTGGATCGATCCAGCTTGTAAGATGAATTTATCTGAACGCTCAATAAAATTGGTCGCACCTAGTGTGTCTGGCGGCGGATGGTTATTCTCCTCCAACCCAACATTTATTTATAATGTCAGCCAGCGCACACTGCTACAAGAGGGGGAGGGTCACGTTTTGTGTTATGAAGTCTGCGTAATGACGCTGGCATGTTACCACAGCGGAATTTTGCCATTTGGACTGTGTAACGCTAGGAGACGAGTAGTATGTCTACCGGTAGTCTGGTGCGGAACAAAACCGCCATTAATACTCTAAAACTCAGGGTGATAGCTAATTATACCATCCAGAGTAGAGGCACCAGTGAAGTGTTTGAAACTCAAGGTGATGGTTTGCTAAATGGTGCTAAGTAGAGAAACGCCATAGAGTGCTTTAAACTCAGGTTGATGGTTAGTTAAATGGTACAAAATGAAGAAACTACAGAGTGTTTGAAACTCAGGGTGATGGTTAGTTAAATGGTACAAAATGAAGAAACTACAGAGTGTTTGAAACTCAGGGTGATGGCAACTAATATGGTTAAAACCAGTAATGAACTGTATTTCGTACAGAGGCCAATATCATAACCTAAACGTTACATAAACAGAGCAAAATATCGGACACTGTCACACTAAATGGCGTATTGCACTTGCGTATGATATACGCAGACAAACGCATAAGGTTCGTTGTTATTATCCCATAAACGTTTTGCATACGCATGCAGGTGTTAGTGTTAGCTTATATACGCAGAAGGATGGAAAGGTTTTTGAGCATGTTCAAGATTTTTCAGCGTATACGCGCGTTTAAGTCGTACGCGGCCCGTGCGTTACACATACGCTAGGCATACGAAGAATAAGCTATAATGACTCTAAACATACTTAACAGCTACGTTTTTAATGCGGTGATTTTATATACGCAGCGTATATCAGCTAAGTACCGTGTGGGCCGAGTCCCTTACGATTAATTGATGGATTTCAACAAATGTTTGCCGTATATTAACATATTTTGCTCATAGTAGCGTATGCCAAACGCATTTTTCGTTTGCTTAACACATGATTACCGTATGACAAATGCATCCTTTTGTCATAAAATAAGAGTACAATTTGCACATTTCTATCACAACTGCCCCAAATGGAGAGGATAAATGTAGATATTTGCTAATATCCAGTTGGATTTGATCCAGTTTGTGATGCATGAATTATCAACAAAACAGAAGCACGCTATCCGTGCATTATTCATACATGTAAGCTCATATGCGTTAATGATACGCTTATTTACGGTACTCGTACCCTCATATGCGCTAAGGAAACGCTCGTGTATGCGCTTATCAAACGCTCAAATACGCTAATTGTACGCGAATATACGGTACTCATCCGTAACTGATACGTTGATACACAGTGTCCATAAAGGCTACATTAACAACAACACGCCTTTTAAATTACTCAGACGGTATTCAATCGCAAGTTATAAGGTGTGAATGTGCTTTCAATACGCCAATACGCCGTTTCTACGCTGCTTATTCTTTCTTTCTCATTCGCCGGAAAAAGGTTGGTTTCTTACTCTCAAAGTTACGCATACAATCGATTTCACATACATGTACGTACTAGTACCTCTTTTACGCTAGATGTGACGGCACCCAAAGCACAAGAGGCCCATAAGTTTCTTAATGAAATTTCATAATATATGTTTTTTTTTTTTGTTTTTTTTTTTTTTGACATCACAAAACAAAACATACATTTTTCACACGAACACATATTACAACATATATGCAATAGACACAAACTAGCATACAGTGGTCTCATTGGACATTAATAGCACTTAAAAATGGTATTACATGTATTTCTAATGATCGATATTGTTTCATAAACATCTCATTTATCCCCAAACAATCACATCTGTTGAATGCAGCCCAGTGTTGATGGGTTCAGTGTGGTAATACATTACTATTGCCCAAAACATGAATTGAAAATAACACCATCGGAGGTAAATATGGCCATACCTAACAGATGATATATATAAAAGAAATAAAAAAGCAGTCTCTTTTATACCGACAGCTTTTGATTAATAATTCCAGGTAACGTGGAGCGATACAAAGGAGCGACCGCGTCACATCGGATATTGGTGTCTAATCCTGGATTATTTTATCAGCGTCTCATTCACCAGCGACGCCTGCGTTGAACAAAATCATTTCACTTCCGGTGAAGGGAGCCACAACAAGATCATCACTTGAGCTAAGCATCGGCGCTTCGTGGAAGGACCATTTGTAATTTCTTTTTTTCTCCGAAGACAATTCTACGAGTACGTGACGCCAGGCCTCTCGAACGTATTGTTTATCGGACAATGTATTTCACAGTCGATAAAGCACATCAGTCTTGCTGTTTCCAGGAAGCCTATTTCGCAATAGACGAGACAGATCAAACGCGGCAGTTTGAAGTTGAGAGTCATTACGACATCTATTTCCCTCGATATAATTAAGACGTATGTTTCAAGCAATTTATTTTTCATTCTTTTTTTTAAATAAAATGGCTTCTGAATCGTTAAATCAATAGCGATCGAGAGGGTTTAAATGACAGACATGGGATCCGAATTAATGTCGGTGCCGATTTGATACGGAATTATTATTATTTTCTCGCAGTGACTTAAAAACGTTGCTCTAATCGAAAAGAACTTCACTCTGTCAGGGCCAGAGACGAAGCACATAGACAAATAAGTAGAAGATCACAGGACTGCGTTTGAGAGAACAAAGAAACAGGGACGTTTTACCCATGGTTAGCACTATAAAAAAGGGACAAAGCATAGTTTGCATTCACAGGAAAAAAAACGAATTATGCCCACATTATAAGCTATAGAAAATCAGGACAGCGTTCGTACTATTCAGACTTCTCTACTAATTACATGCGATAGGGACGTGTTATTGAACCTACTGCGGCGATTTATCACCGTATATAATTGAGTAAGTTTTTCCTAAAGAGTCCACATTAACTGGCTTGCGTTACGTTTAATAAGGCAATCATATGCTAGGCACGGTGAAACGGACGCAGATCAGCTATAAGGCATAAAGACGTTGAACGATACCGCACGGTTGCAAAATTACCAGTAACAAACAGTAGGCCTACATCGCTCAGTAGACGTTGCTAAAGCCTGCATTGAAACGGACTCCGAGACGGATCACATCATTGCCATGAATCAAAGCATTGATGAAACGGAACTTGGAAACAGCTCCATACCCGAATATATTCTCAACATGCGGAATACAACGGCGGTGCTTTTTCCAGTGTTATACACATTCGTTCTCCTCATTGGAGTCACTGGGAACGTGCTGGTTATTTACGTCATAATTTCGAACAAGCACATGAGAACATGCCCGAACATGCTGTTCCTAAATCTGGCGGTGTCCGATCTTCTGTTCTTGGTGTTTTGCGTCCCGCTTCAAGCGGCGTTCTTTGTGACGAAATACCAGTTGAAAATTGGCACCCATGCCTGCAAAATGCTCAAGTACACGACGTTTGTTTCGACGGCGGTCGGTGCATACTCCCTGGCGGCCATCTGCGCTTTCCGTTGCCGCGCCATCGTTTCTCCGATCCAAGCGTCACGGTTTTTGACCACTCGCCATTCAATGATGACCAGTTTAATTATCTGGCTGGTCATGCTTGCGGTCAACACGCCTTTGGCCATTTATTACCGCGAGAATGGACAATGTACGACAGCAGACGACATTTCTGACCAATCCCTAGCGCTCCTTCTCACCGTCATGCTTGGGGCCGACTTTCTTCTGCCAGTGTTGTTTGTCATAGGAGCTACAGCGGTCATTGTTCGGCACTTTCAGGCCCATTCTATCCTGTCTGAACACCCGTCTGTCACAGCAAATGGCTACAACCGCAAAGTGATCGTAGTCGTCATCGCCGTGGCAGCCATATTTGTCGTCTGCTGGGGTCCCTTCAACTTCCTGGTGCTGTTTGCGACGCTGGGGGGTAAGGCGGATCGGAAGGTCATGCCGTTTGTTTCCCTGGTGACCACTTTCCTTGCCTACTCCAACTCGTGTCTCAACCCCATCATTTATAACTTTGCGTCGAACGAATTTCGAAAGTCGTTCAGGAAGACCGTCAAGGGTGCCTGGTGCTTGAGGGGATTGAGCAATAGGAAAGATGGCCGCATGTCTCGGGTGACGGACCGCACGGGAAGGGACAACGGAACGACGATGCAGGATTTCTCTTCTTCGAGAATGTCGAGAAGAGCTTCGGAGAGAACCACGCTCAGTGCCGAGTTCGCTGAGAAACCCTGTGTACCTTGAAAATACCTGTGGACGTACGTATATCTGACAATTTATGCTCAGAGAAGATATATTCTATTTACAAATGAATACCGCATTATTTATTTCACTGTGCCAGCATGAAAACGATCTACCGATGCAGTTTATTTTTGTCCTGTTTACCTAGCAAGATGACAAAATGAGATAAAAGTCTCATTCCAAATAAATATCACCGAACTCCTTAAATAATGGAATACGCGATCTAGCACGAATACTCACTCTGTATAGCTTCACAACAGTAACGCAGTCATGCTATATTTATGATTACTTCTTCTATACTGTTGCATAGTGAGCTCGAAATCAATTAAAACCGACTGGAGTCTGGATAAAATAACGAGGGTAAAAATGTCGAATTTGGATTGTGCATTGTTGGAAAATATATAAATTTCGAAATTTGCACGGGGAATGATATACAAGGAGTATTTAAGTCATATTTATGTGGCATTTGTATGCTTTTTAACTGTATTTTTAACTGTATTTTCTCACTAGTTATACAAGATACGACAAATGCGGGGTTGGGTTTATATGAGGATCACAATAAGCCCCATTGGAGTCAACTGTGGGTCCCACTTTGCTGACTTAATAGTGTTGGCAAATACGCAGTGTTTAACCCCCCCTCCCCAATTATGGATTTAGAGCCATTTATATGGAACTGTGTGGGACCCGCATCCCCTATGTAAACCTTACTTTAACCAGTTCTCAGAAGGCTTAACTGGCTTTCTGTCTTTTTCGCTTTGATCGATGACTCGGAGTATCAGCTGTCTATAAGTAGCTAATTGCTTCCATGCTGAAAACCAGCTTCCGAGTTGGACCGTGAGTTAAATATCTACGACGTCGAAGAATGAACGAAGCTGTCAATGAAATAGCTTGGTTGCATGGAGTGTGTTGGACACCCACTCGTTGTATAAGTGAAAAGTCTTACGATGCCATTATGTCAAAGACTATTGATTCATGGCTGCTTCTTTCCAACGTCTGATAAAAAGAAGATGGAATGAATATCCACATAATACAAACACGCGTGTTAGGAATGCAGTTTGGTATTTAATACACGGGGTTATTAAATCATCACGAGTTTGATAATAAATGATAGGTAAATCCAGAGGGAAAGCCAAAGTGGTTGACGAGCGCGACCGACCCTAGTTTTGAGAGGTTCGGTTTTTTGGCAGCAATTTTAAAGGATAAAAAAAACTGATAAGCTGACATGTCTGTTAAACATATTATGTTTCAGAATTAAGCACAAAAATAGAATTAGTTCTCCGACCTTATTTGGTCGTTCATAAATTACGGTGGCTATATTGGCCCTTTCTTTTGAATTTTGTATGTTAAATCGAATTTATTAACGGTGACGGTATATATATATATTTATTATTTTCATGTTCATGTGGCATTAGTAAACACTGAAAAGTGTGTAAATTCAAGGAACTTTTTCAAAGTACCTTTTTGGGGTAATCGTACGCACATTTTTTATATTTGCATATGTTGGGAATAGAAATTCATAATGCTTATGGTATGATTTGTGTCATTTGAATGTCTTCATTTCTTTGTGCTAATAAAATATAACAAGGTGATAAAATAATTACAGTTGTGATTCACTTTGTGGAATATGTGCTCAACGCGTTGCACAATGCGCTCTCAGATTCTGTTTGCTAGTAAAACAAGAAAAAATGCACCATTTGTTCTTACCTTCACTTACAGGAGGGTTCCATGGGAAGGGGGTAGTGCTTACAGTTCGAGGGAAATGAAATCGTCATACACAAATCGCAGAAAATTAAACTTTATTTACTGGTAATGCGAGTCGAAAATCCTGAAAAAAAAACTTATCACCGGGTGTTATGACTTCGTTTCGCGTGGGACGAAGAATAAAAAACTGCATTCTCGAGTCATGGGATTGAGGTGTTTCATGGAACACGCTAAATGATATGAACGTTTCACGCATGTCGGGAAATAAAAAGAGACTTTCACGGGTAGTGAAACCCAATGGGACCCTCTCCCAGGTACCATGTAAGTAGCCGTCCCTATAGGCATACGGTGCCCATTAGACTTTTCACGGCAAAAGAAAAAAAAAAAAAAAAAAAAAAACAAGTTCTCGTGGGATATGTCTCTCTGCAATTAGTGTAAATCAACACTGTAATGCAACAGCAATCATGGGATTACTCGTAGTCTATCTGCTCTAAGTATGCTAATAGTTCAGCTTTGGAGCGGACGTTGAACCTAAGACTGGGTTCGCATACTTAGACCCCATTCCCACAGATTTTAGATCGATCTATTCCCGTGGGTAGTCTCACTAGATTACTGTCAGCTTAGCTGGCTTAAATGTCTGTCCCGCCTACAAAAAGCTTTAAGGGGGTAATTAACTTCCGTGCGCGGTCGGCTGACAGCAAATTAGCGGGAACCCCCAGGGAGTTAGGTCGATCCAGATCTTAATCTGTGGATCGATCTAAATCTGTGGGAATGCGCTCTTAGATCGATCCATCTGGATCGACCTAACTTCCTGGGGGTTCCCGCTAAATTGCTGTCAGCTCAAGAGGCTTAAATGTCTGTCACGTCTACCAAATCAGCTAGGGGTAAAGATAATTACCCCCCAACAGCTTTACTAGGCGTGACAGACGATTAAGCCGGTTAGTTTGATAGTAATTTAGTGAGACTCCCCAGGGAGATAGATCGATCCAAACATCTGTTGAAATGGTTTCTAAGACTGCATTCCCACAGATTTTAGATCGATCTATCCCCATGGGGAGTCTCACTAGATTGCTGCCAGCTTAGCCGGCTTAAATGTCTGTCCCGCCTATTAAAAGCTGTAAGGGGTTAATTTACGTTTGTGCTCGCTCGGGTGACAGCAATTTAGCATGAACCCTCAGGGAGTTAGGTCGATCCAGACGGATCGATCTGAATCTGTGGGAACCCAGTCTAACTCATAGTGTCCGTTCCGAATGAGTGAGGTCGACCTAGCTAATGCACGCAAACTCTATGGGGACTCTTGCTGAATGCCATCATTTCCATTGTGAGAAAAACTAGCACTAGCAAAAGATTTGGACGCCTTTTGGGCTATTACGTTGGCAATCTCAAAACTTCGACATACAGTAACATAAAGTAGCGGTATATTCCATGATCAACGCGAAACGGCCTAACTGAATTCTGTAAATGTCAGTAAATATTGATAAGGTTGCAACATGAATGGCCCACTAAACCTAGTCCCTAAAGGCTGCCATATATATCATGTTTTGAATGTTTAGGTAATGGACGAAGATTACTTTAGGTTTACATTCTCATGAGCCTTTCAACCAAAAATAATCACGTCCGTTTGCCTTTACATATTTTAAATGCACTTTGAAGTTAATTCTACATATGATATAGAGGAGGTACCTGAAAAATGCATTGTTTTTCAATAAAAAAAACAACACTCTTATTTATTGACTTTCGATTTTAGCTTTAAGCTCACATTTATTTAATTATTTATTTATTTGTTTATTTATTTATTTATTTATTATGATTAGAATTAACTGAACTGTGAACATATGTTGTCAGTATACCACGAACAAGATCACTTTTGTAGTACCTGTTATTGCAACTGTACGCATTGCACCGGTTTTGTAATCATTTGCAACGTTGTTGACAGATTCCCTTTTTAAACTCTTAAAACCTATCATAAGGAATACCTTGCGGCTTGAAACCTCTGGTAGCAGCAAGATGAGGTCAAGCGAGAGAGCGACTGTTGCTGTGACTAGACACTGACATAGGGGGCCTTAGTGGGACGTGTAACTTTTTTAAGACAATGATTAGGAAAATAGGAGATCCAAAATATCGCTTTCAATGGTTGTCGTATGACTTAAAATAGGCAAGGTATTTTTGTATGCTTCAGTGGCGAATTCAATTAATGAACTGATGTCACAGTGACGTCGAATAGATTATCAAAACTTATTAAAACACGATTTTAATCCTTATTTTCATTTATCAGTCAGCAAAATAGGAAAAAAACTGATGAATTATGATTTGGAAAAAATATCCCATATTTTAAAATGTCAAGTCTGTATGTAGCAAGCGTGTACTTATGATAAATCTGAATACGCACATACGCACATACACACACACACACACTTCGTTTTGGAGGTCTGCACCCCCATTGGATCCTCTTTGACCACATGGGCCGCAAGTACTCTATGTTCACAGTATATATTATACTGCAATTCTGTACACATTTTAGAGGTCCCCGTGATATCAAACAATACCTCTGGGACAAGGGTGTAATATTCATTGATACCTTCTGTTATCTGTACGTTAACCCAGCCTTTAAACATGTGCATGATCACAATCTGGTGGTAGACTGAATATTGGTGTAAATGTATAAATATTCAGACTCTAACATTGTAACAGAGGCCCTTTTCGCATATTGCAGGACACCTTTCTGTGTATATGTATATATTCCCTCTGACTGGTTCTAACGTGTAAATGAGGTGGGGGTAGGGTGTTAGGTGTGTGTGCGGGGGGGGGGGGGGGGTACTCTTTGTCACAACTTCGCTTCCAACATCGGAAGACCCAGTTTATGGGAAGTCCCAATATAAATATGGTTATAACTGAATGTGCCGAATGTGGAGTCTTCGTTTAGGTGTCTCTCTAATTACGTCAGCCGTAATAATACATTGGTGCCATACAAAAACATTGTACTGCTCGGTGTTCGAAAGGTCTAACACCCCATTCTCATAGATTAGATCAACCTACATTGGATCGACCTAACTCCCTGGGGGTTCACGCTAAATAGCTGTCAGCCGGGCGGACACGAAAGTTAATTACCCCTTAAAGCTTGTAGTAGGCGGGGACGGACACTTAAGGGGGATTATCTGACAGTAATCTAGTGAGACTCCCCGCGGTGATAGATCGATCTAAAAGTTGTGAGAACAGAGCCTAAGTAAGTCATCAAGCGTACCAAGTCCTCATAGGGTTTATTGGTCCCCTGGCCCAACCTGGTGATGGCGCGACATGCGTGGTACATCTAGTTGCCAATAAAAATTACAAACAAAAAAAATAGAAATATTAACTCCATTTGTAAGAGATGCACGCGCTTCGTGCTGTTGCAAATCCACAATTTGTTTATTGCACAATAAATGTCATATATGTGATTAACAAAGATATAAATGAGAATATAATGTCTTCCTGTTATTTCAGTGATTAGCGAATTACACCCGCCAGTCTTCGTGCCTATAAACGGATTAGGCGTTAGCCAATTTGAGCCTC